TTTTCAACGGTCGAGAACAGTTTACACTGACGTCACGATATATTTCGTTATCAACCGCATACACGACTCAATTGCCTCGAACGAACCGTCTCTTTTAATTACTTTGGCTCGAATCGAATTGAAAATTAACGGTGAAGTGGCGGAGAAGTGGAGGGGGAAATAGAAGGGAAGAACACGCGTAAGAAAACGCATCCATACGACGCCTTGGATTCGCTCGAGCAATTGCCTAACCCGCCAAACCTACTGTTGACTTCTTCGTGCGCCGCTTGTTGTGTGTCCATTTAGCAATACAGTTGCAAAGCTGTGTTTGTAATGGAAAAGAAATTGTGTACGGCCTGCAGAACCCAGATCTATGCCGTTGGTGGTCTACTCGTAACAAACAATCTTCGATCGACGGAAGAATTCTACTTGATGAACGTAGTTGATTGGAATAAAATGATCTTGTTGTCAAATGCTGGAACGTTGCAAGTGTTTCACGATCTATTTTAGAGAATTCAAAAGTAGGTATTCGTTGTTACGTGTTTCACTATAGTTGTTGATATTCTGTATCATTTTTTTTTTAATTTCAATTTTTAACTATTTTTCGCTTCAAAAATTTTAACTCAAATAGTTTTTATTATATGAAATGTTACAATTCTTTTCAAAATAATAGAACACGATTGAAGTAAGATTGAAGTTATTCCATTCGCAAAATAAAGTAACAGAAATATTGTTCCAGAAAAAGGCACTTTTTTCTTATATCGTCGAAAAAGAGTTGTAAAAGTCGAACACGAAGTTTCTTACATAATCGTTAGTGGCAATCTACGCGACTCACGATTAATTATTCAAGAGAGCGACGTCAAATTTTTTTCCAACTTAAAAATAGATGCTTTTCCAAATGAGAAGCCGTGGAATATCAAAGTGCCACTCTAATATGAAATTTTATTTTATTCAAATAAACAGCGTGCACGTACGCACGTAACAATACTTGTAAAGTGGCTTGGCTGCGAAACGTGAGGTGAACGTGTTGCACAAGCTTATTTTGAAAGTCGAGAAGCATCCTCGGAACTCGTTTCGAGGATTCATGTATACTGTTCGACGATCGCACTCAAATTCATTGGTAAACGGTTCTTACTGGCATCTGCGCTGTCGTACTATTCAATGAAAAAGCACATCCTCGAAATAAAATTGAAACGAATATTTTTCTAATCTTAATTTCACCTTCAATTAAATTTCTCTTACGCCTCTTAAATTGTTTAAAAATTGAACTTGAATAAAGAAGAAGAATGATATCTTCGGGATAAAATTGAAATGAATTATTCGCCTCAGTTTTAAATTAGTTACATGGCACAAATTATGCAACATTTCTTCCCATTAAGTCACTATCAGTTTTTTTCTAACGTGTACGCTAAAAGTCACCAATAATGTTGACCGAGCACATATGTATGTATACTTATACAACAGTGCCATCAGCCGCCGATATTAAATACAACTAGAAAATATCACCGAATGAAATTCAACATCTTATTTTTTTATTAATACTACAATATTTATTTCTAGACACCATTGAGGTTCGCATGACGTGCTTCAATCTATAAATTCTGCACAGCGAACAAATTTTCTATATCCGTCTAGTGCCTTTTGTTGTCAGACGACCAGATTGCAATAATTTACGAATTTACTTCACCCTAAGAATTTCACGGTAGTTAAATAAATTTACAACAGCGACATCTGTGCTTTTCCCTATTAGAGATATCATCGCGACAGTTGAAATTGTATTTCCTGCATTTTTCTGAAGATACTTAATCTAGATACAATAATTTTGTCTTATCAGTTGTTAAGACAAAAATAACACAGACGTATTGTTTCAGAGTTTTCTATCAATTAATTGAACGACGATGGATTGTACTTGTGTTGTTTTTTCTTTTCGTAATTTTTTTTTTTTTTTTTTAAGTAAACTCACGGTTAATGAGCGGTTTTTCGCACAGTTTCGCAATTTCAGTAATCTCAAGGCGCGCGTTGATAACGAAAGTAGCACGCAACACCGTGATGACAAATTCTACGTCATCGGTTTTTTATCGATAATTCGAGGATGTCACCTGCCAAGGTTCTTGATACCGAGCAAAGACTTTAATTACGTAATGTTCGGTTCAATTAACAACGCTGCTCAAGTGTTTCTACAGTTGGATCACTGACCGTTCAAACCGTTCCAAGAAGCCTCTTAATTCGAATTATCCTCTGATGTAATATCTTTTGATTCATAAACATTAGAAAAACGACGAATATACAATATAAAGGTTTTCTGATTAATATCGAACACGATGGATTTTCTTTCGAAAACTTTTAATCCTGTACTTTCTAAGGCTACCGTAGTTAAGACACTCTAATGAAAATTTATTATTCGTTATGTTCGCAGATGAAGGCTGCTTACAGAGCTTTCGATGCATTTTGTGAGCTTCCAGATGAGGTACGAGTCAAATACGAGCGTGCCACGCCGAACAATTACGGATATGTGAAACCAGGACCGTCAACGTATGATTTTTTAAATTATTTTACCGAATAAAATAAAATTACCAAGATAATTTCGAATTGAGTTTATTGAATGGTTTTGATTGATCTTTTTTTTTTTTTATTGTACTATAGATACACCGATGAGAAAGAAGCTCGACATGTTTTCAATGTCACCGGATGTGGAGGGACTCTTCCGGACGAAGAGGTGCCTGGTTTCAGATCGGCGGTCGATGAACTTGCTCGAGATTTCAAACAACTGTCCGCCATGCTTTTAACTGTAATGGCACCTTTTTTTCCTCTTATATTTTGATATGAAAAACTCATGAGTCACTCTATCCGTTTTCTAATATGTAGAAACGATTTCTAAATAGCCTGATGCAAGATCCAGTCTTATGTATTATATATCTCTTAATGTTCTTCCTTATTTTTCAAAAAGAATCAGCTATAAAACATTTCAAATATTTATGTATCTTGCATTGAGCTATACAAACATCTCAGAAAAATTGAACACTTTATCAGAAAGTAAATTTCTTTGGAGCAAAGAATCTTTTGAATCGAACCAACTTTATTTATATCTATAACTTCCCATAAAATAATATGAATAATATAATAATGTAATAAGATTCGGAAGCTCTTGGACAGGTCGTTTGACAAAAGAGAGTTGCTTCAACTGTAAGTAACCCTACAAACCAATCTGTCCGGCAGACGAACTAACGCGATTGGTTTCTTCGGTTGCTTTACAGCCGTCATTAGGTACTATAAAGTAAAAATAGGGGCCAATGTATGTGATCTATGCCTTGTAGGCTCTGGCCGTGGGCCTAGAGCAATCCCCTGATTTCCTGCTCTCGAAGCATTCGCATATGCTGGGACCTGGAAACGAGTCAACCCTACGTCTTCTTTACTATCCACCTCTTGGTGCACCGGCGCCAGGATTGGCACGTTGTGGCGCTCATTGTGATTATGGAACTTTCACTTTGTTGGCACAGGTAGGTACATTCACAAAAACTTGGCAAAAGGCAAACAGAATCTATGTTTTGGTTATTTTTAGCGTAACTTATGTCCTTTCAGAAGTATCTCAATACGTGCATTGTATTATTAAATGTATTTAAAACAGTGAACACACTAACCTTTGAACTATTGAGATATTTTCTTGAAATAATAAATTTTGTAATTAAGAGTTTCGAATAAATAGTTAGAGCTGTCACTCAATCTATATTACTTACTTGTTAAAAATATAGTTTATATTTAAATTGAATATAAGTATATTGAATTTTTAATTACCTAAGAGGCATAACAATTATTTTCAGGATTGTGAGGGAGGCTTAGAAATACAAACTCCATATGGGGAACGATGGGGAAGAGTTGGTCATCTTCCAGGTGCTATTTTGGTAAATACTGGCGACATATTGGCGAATTGGACGAACAATCAACTTCCAGCATTGAGACACCGAGTTGTTGTACCAGAACTTTATGGTCGAGGTCGTCATTCCATTGCATTTTTCGTGCATCCGGATAATAATACTCCCATTGAGCCTTTGGATACAAAAATTGGGAAGGCGAATCAAGAATCGGCACCGTGCCGTTTACAGAAAAAGAAACGTGGTGTTTTGACTGCGTATCAGCATCTTCAACGTCGTCTTCGAGAAACTTATGCCTCTTAACATTATTGAGACAGTTACACCTTTGTGTTTTTGGATCAAGACATCTTTGAAAGATTACCGTTAAAACTTGCGTTAAAAAAACCTGTAATTTTGAGTATCAAATGAACATGATAAATTTATATGATTCTAAAATATTACAGGATTTCTTTAAAAAACTAATATACAGATAAGAAATAATAATCGATCATTAATTGTGATTCGATTGTCCGCTCATATCTGTTTCAAACAAAAACAAGTTCCATTGATAACGTGTAAGAACTGCATTGTTGCATCACAAGGGCAATAATAAAGAAATTTGTACTTACATTTTGTAAAACTGCATTTTATACGAGTCACTTAATTTCCCATTGACAAAAAGGAAGATGTTTTATGATGTGTATTTTTTATTTCATATTATACATGTATTATTTTGTAACTTCTTAAATACAACGATATCAAATTAAAATCCAAGATCCCAGTCAACTGATTGTTGCTGACTGACTATTTTGAAACAAACAATAATATCTTCAGGCTGGAAGGATATATCTGTATCTTTAAATCTAAGACCACATTCAAGATTAGTTTCTATCGAAGTCTGTTCTTCTTTTAAATGCCTCATCGATTCTAATTTTCCTATAACAAAGTATTCAAATATTGTTAACTGAAAATATATATAACGTATATTACAAGTATTAAATTAATATACGAAAAATAAAATAAAAAACAAAGGCGAAATAAAATACAAAATTAAAGTAACAATTGACAATTTTTTTCATTCGAATAACAACTTCAATTTTACCTCGGAAAAAAATCAAAGAAAATACTTACTATAAATTAATAATAACGTGATAAAATAACGTCTAAATGTAATAATAACATCTAAATTAAAAAATCAGTAAATTAATGTCATAAACGTCACAAAATATTTACCTGTATAAATAATCTCATTATTTCTCAATACATGAAACATTTCAGATTTTAAAAGAACACCTTTAAAGCAATGGCAGCCTGCAACATTTACTTTCTTCCTTTTATCCTTTATTTCGATATTCTGCAGTACTTTTGCTTTACCTATTTTAAAAAATATATGTACACATAACAGATTATTATTAGGAAACACATTACGTTATTATAATATCAATACCTAATACTTCTTCGACATCAATTTTGGGTAATATACTATTAATTTCTTCCTTAATGTTTTCAATAAGTTTATATACAACCTTATATAATCGAACAACTATGCCTTTGTTTTTGATATCTGTTTCAATTGTTTTGCCTATACTTACATTAAATCCATACACAATTGCTGAAAAAGCATACTCAATTTAAAATGATTTATAATAATACATATACCATTTTTTTTAAATATTATCTTACCATTAAATGTTTCTGCTAATTCTATATCAGTGTTAGTAATGGCTCCAATACCATAATGAACAACATTGAAGCGGCATATTTTATCAGATTTATACATATTAAAAATATCTAATAATGCTTCAACACTTCCTGCTACATCACCTTTTAAAATAATATTAATTGCAGGAACATTGGTTTCATGTTTTTCTTTTTCTTCTGCAAATTTTTCATTTTCTTTTGCTAGTACCTTTTTCGCTGTCCGCCAACACTGTCTACCAAAGGTTCTTCTTATTCCTAATATCCTTCTATATTCCTATAATTATACAAAGGTATATAGAAATATTTTGTGGTTACTAATTAGTATTAAATATTTGGGTTGGTGTTCCTTACAATAAGGTGTTTCTCGTGTTTCTGATTTGCAGCAATTTTATGTTCCAGAGCTAAAGTTTCACTCTGCTCTGTTTCTCTAGCCTTTAGAACTTCTTGTAACATTTTATCATTTTTTACTTCTAATATTTCATCTCCAACAGTAGGTAATGTTTTCCAACCAATGATTTGTACCGCATCCGAGGGTTTAGCTTCCAAGATAGGAAAGCCAGAATCATTAAACATAGCTCTTACTTTCGCTGATGCTAATCCAGACACTGATAAAAACAGAATATCAAACAGTATTAACTTAAAAATGTTTATTTTATGAAAATCGATATATTAATTAGTTTTTACCTAATAGACATCCTTTCTTTAAAGTACCGTGTTTAATTAAAGCCGATACTAATTTTCCACGACCAACGTGGTTACTACATTCAATAACTACACCTTCCACTAAGCTCAGAGGATCTGCTTTTAAACTCATTATTTCGGCTTGTAAGACTATAGTTTCTATTAATTCTTCTAAATTAATTCTTTTTAAAGCAGATACTTTAACACACTGTATTTCTCCACCTAATTCTTCAACAACAATACCGTGTTTTGCAAGTTCACTTTGCGTTTTATTCTACAATAAAATGTACGAATTAAAAAATTTATGAATTTTTACTTTTAATTTGTAATATTGAAAGCTTTAGATAATTACAACATCAGCATTAGGTTTATCGATTTTGTTGATAGCTACAATAATTGGAACCTTGGCACTTTTTGCCATTTCTATACTTTGTAAAGTTTGCTCTTTAACTCCATCATCAGCTGCTACAACTAATACTACAATATCTGTCACATGTGCACCTCTATGTCTCATGGAATTGAAAGCAGCATGTCCAGGTGTGTCCAAAAATGTTGCCCGTTCTCCACATTTTAAAGTTACTAAAATTCAAGTATCAATAATTAAAAATTATAATTTATTATATATAATCCATCTATCATGTTTTCTATTATAATTAATATACTTTATCGTTAGTTGCACTAAAATTAAAGTTTTACAAAATTTGAATGATGTAACTATGATATAGAAATACATTTTTAAATATTAGTTTAATACCAACCATCAAAAGCACCTATGTGTTGTGTAATTCCACCAAATTCTGATTTTGCAACAGATGTATTTCGTAAAACATCAAGCAAAGTAGTTTTGCCATGATCAACATGCCCCATTATTGTCACAACTGGATGTCGTTTTACTAATTTAGATGCATCAGCTGAAGAGCTGTGTAGAATTTAACAATATGACAAATTTAAGAGATTGCAAAAAAACTTGAAAGTATTACTAGTATTATTAAAAGTATATATTTAAAACTTAAATTTATAATACCTTTTAAGAATATGTTTAAATTTTTCTTTTTTCTTTACATTTGATTTTGAAACAGGTTGAGGTTTTGCACCAAGACTTCTAACTATTTTAGTCAATAAAGGCCCAATTGTTAAGATACTGTTTTCATTATAATTATTTTCTTTACTGTTTATATAAACAGCATCTAAAACATCATTAATATCTCTTTTGGCAGAGTTTGCTAATTCTTGAATTGTCATTTCATTCCATACTTCTACTACTGGTACAGACTTTTTTACATGTTTCAGAAGTATAGAATCATTTAACATTTCTTTACTAAATACCAATTTGTTAGATTTCTGAAATCAATATCCACATCCAGATTACATAAGTAATGTAGAATATATTTAAACTACATATTACAATAATACCTGTGCTGTTAGAATAGATTTTTTCTTGTAAAAACTATGTGTAAGATGATAAGCAGAAGTCTGTGAAATATAATTTATATTGTCTTTTCTCCATATGTCTAACAACTGTTTTGATAAACTGCAAATAAATTAACAAATATATTAAATTATGCTAGTGAGTTAAAACTTTAAATCATATTTAATAATATTAAATATGTACCTATATTACATTATAGCAAAAAAGTAATGTCATGTCATGTTTTTATTAAATTCTTTATTAATATAAAAATTCCAAGGAAGGTTATGTTTATCAAGCTGTACCATAAACAAATTAATTATAATAGTAAGCATTTTATCTAGTACTATACATTTAATATTTTGCATACTGAATTTATTAATATAAGAAAGTAAAACATTTATGTTATA